CACCTACCCCACAAGAGCAAAGATTATGCGTTGCTCAATATGTTACGACATCCTTGGTAACTACTACCTCTGAGCACTCTATAGTACCAAGACCTCCCACACCTAAGTCTTCAACTCAAACCCATATTCCAGACTGGAAATGGAGAAAGCGTCACCGGCTTATGTCATCCAATCATGATGATTTTCATCATTACATTAGACGCGATGTTCAGGGTGCACTTCCTCTTGGCCCCCTCAAGTATTGGATAGATCATGCGGTGGATTTACGGCAAAAACATCTAGCCAAAATGGCTTTGAATATTTTTAGTATACCAGCGATATCTGCTGATCCAGAGTACCTGTTTAGTAGGTATGAGATTACCTAATTCTAATCCTTTAAACTTATAGTGGGAACTAAATTGAATTTATTATTTGCAGTTCAAAGTTACTTTTGTCAGAGTATCGCAACTGGCTTGAAGATAATATTATAGAGGCATCAGAGTACCTAAAGTCTTGGGCAAAAGATGGCTTGGTTTATGGTGGCATCAATTCTGATGTTAACTGAATGCAAAGTATACTCCAAGCTTTGGAGCTCTATAGCGTTGATCTTTGTTCTTCATCTATTGTTTAGTCTGTAATTACTCATAGTACTCTGGCACTTATTATACTCCACTTTCACTTCTTGATTTTCTCATGTGTATTCTAGCACTTCTGAATCATTGGGCTTTGCTCTCTATCGCTTGTTACTTTATGGTTTTTGTGTTTTTTATTTGATTTCATTTCTATCCCTCTTCTGTTTATTTCATATTCGCTATCATTGAATTGTTGTAACGACCCGACGTTATAGAGGTATGGTAACCTAAGTCTGTACCCATACATAAGACCAAGAGGTCCTATAGTCGACTAGGTGGGTATGCAGACGCATATCCAAGGGATATCTGATGGTCTGAATATCCCTAAGAACACAAGGTACTTAACAGATTGGTCTACCAAAGTAGTGGTAGTAACGTGACTATGTCCGCTCTGGCCTGAGGACAGGTCAGAAGGCCGGGTAAGTTTACCCTGTCTAATGAAGTCATGTTACCCTACCATGGAGACAGGTTTCGTGTCACCAGGGGTATACTAACCCTACCTTTGGGACACTATTTCCCTACCTTCTGTCGGAAATGTTCGCGGAGGAATTCGAGGAAATATTAGGATTGTTTGTTACACAATAATGATGAACGGGCACTTGCTTGTACTTTGATCGGAAGGCTATGCGAGGAGCTATAGTACACTAAACAATCTGTAACTTGGTAGAATTATTCATAACAGGTACCTGCGGCCCGAGGGTTCGCCCCGGGCGTCATGGGCTAAAATGGGTGGAGTTGCTGTCTTACAAGTTAAATGGATTTTATGAAGACACGGGTAGTGCCGGAGACATCTGGGAAGCTTTTACACAAATCAAGCCTACACATGCCCCTTTGCCGTAGGCTCTTTGTGGGTTGTTAGAAGACTCTAATAGCATAATACTTATCACGCTGAGTGGTGTCCCCAGGGTAAGGGACTATGGGTAGCGCCTGTGGGTCCCACAGCCGATACAGCTGTACGTGGGAGCGTCGTAGACCCTGTAAGTGCGCAATCAAGGAAGATAGAACTTACCAGAGAACATCTGATATCTACGGGTGCTTGCAAAGATCATTGCAGATGGGAAGAGAGTCATTTAGCTAGCTTTCCTAGGTGACTCAATGGTTAGCCACTGGCAAGACACTGATGCGCAGAGGTTTTCACTCCGGCAGGTGTATTGGTAAACACTTCGCTAGAACTGATGCATATATAGGAGAATTCTGCTAGAGTGCGCTGACACCTTAGGTCCTTCGGAGACGCGGTAATGGTGCCAGGGCAACCCTTACGGAGAAGGGTATACTCGTGTTGGTTGGGGTAACCTAATAGGGGAGTTTTTGGTATAAGTCTGACTACTTAAAGATTATACAAGAACTCTCCTACCCCAACGAAATCAACATCCTCTCGCGAGACTTTAATTGAGATAAGCCAGAGCTTAATGATATTAAGTTTTACCATTTACTTTTATTCTTTACACTTTTGCAAGAGCTGTGTTCGAGAGATTCGAAGTTTGGTGCGGTCACATCCTTAGGAACCATCTACCTGAGGGAGCCCCCATTACAATTGTAGCAGGGGGGATATATTAGGGGTACGAGATGGGAGATGGCAAGGAAATTGAGCATTGAGAAAAGTCATAATTTGGTTACTATTGATCCTTTCGCATGCTATCTATTAATATCTCATATGGCAGGAATACAAAAAGCAGAAGGGACCCTGCAGATATACCCGAAAGTAGAAGGAACAAAATGGGAAGTGAGACATTCACATCATTACTAATCTGGTGGGGGACCACTGGGCCCGACGTCCTGCTCTCTAAATTGTCGGGCAAATTGTTTAGTGGACGGGACAGGACCACAACAAGTCGTCCGTCCTCGTCCTTGCTTAAGACGCACGGACTGCCCCATTGAGAACACTGGGTATCCGTGCGAGAACGCGCTACCAAATTGTGAACCCCTAGACCAACATGCCTATATATATTGTGCTCTACAACCATCCAATTCCCGTTTTACTTTAACCGAATCTCACTCACACCAGATATACTGTAAAAGTGCATACAAGCAGCAGCACAAATCCCAATAGATTAGTAATGCACGAAACTTTAGCTCATTAACAATCTCTTCCTCCTTTCGCATAACTACCCCCTTCTGCTGGGATCGCTTCTCCCATAATGCTGTCGACTTCCTAATGCGTCCCAAAGTAGCGAGCCCCTACACCGCCGGAGTTTATAAAATCCGTCCCCCAGATCAAAGGGTTTTATTTAGGCTTACGAATACTACACGCGCCTCCCTTACAAAAACTCAATTCAGCACACAAGCTAGAATCCTGGGAGTTCCACGGCCTCCATAATCCTCGGAGCCAAATACAGTCTTGCATCGAGCACTCAGGTACATGAACAAGATAGCCGGCGGTAGTATGCATTGTAGGACAGTTTGGATCTATGGCTTTCTCATTTCTCTCGACTGCGTGCTGGGCGGTGGCTTTAGATTCATCATAACCTACTCCCTTCTCAGATAATATAATCAGCCCCTTAACAGTCAACAGAGTTGGGTCGCTATATGGTCTGAGAATCTCATAATACCCATCCACTTTTCCTTTATTTCGCATCTTCCTGCACTTTGTATACCGGTGGCTCTTGTCTCTTGCTGTGTTCCACCGTAGTAATGAACAGGGAAACTGCCCATCCCGCATACGCACCCCGCGGGTCTAGGAATTACATCTCCATTTCTAGCCCCTCCTTGCTCCCTCTTCTGCCAACTTCACCCATGGGCAACAGGACAGCCCCATATGAACAAGTCAGATAAACCCCCGCACTCCCGATTCTTTCATCTCCTCTCCATTCTCCTCCCCGTTCTCTCCTTTTTTCCTTTACCTCTCGTTCTACTTGTCGCTACTTTTCATGTCCTTCCAAGACTCCTTACTTCTCCTCACTGCATCTCACTTCTGGACTTCCGCCCTCTCTCACACATCCTTTCAACAAATTCTTAGCTGCTACGTATTACCGGTAATCTGGCTCCCGATCCCCCATATCGCAAAAAAAAAAAAAAACTAAGAACTTTCTACGACATGGGCTATATCTGTGTGATACTAGCGGAGGTGTGGGTACCGATGCTTCCCAATATCCTAAATTTTTGAACGTGGATAGACGAAAACAATTGGAATGGCGAAAGGAAACCTCAAGAGTTCACTCACGAAACCATCGCGCGACTCAGGAAGAGGGAGGTTTTCATCTTCGGCATCCTCTTTATCTAGAAAATGGCAAGGGCAGGAGCAGATACAACAACAGAATCCTCTTGTCCTTCCATGGACTACCATCAATGTCCATGCTATAGCGTATATGCCCCCCCTTCCGCTTGTTCTGACTCCCTTGCTAATAAAGAAAAGGCGAACTCCCGCTGGCCATAGCCTCCGGACATCCAACATTCTAGGCATCTGACATTCTGGCCTTCTTTACAGTCCTTCCGCCCTCCTTCAACTTTCCTTGCGCTGGATGCATCGATCCAAAACCCCAGTGCAATCTCGAAGCTAAAATGCTTTCCTGAAAGCGAAAACAAGCCTGAAGCCATAGTGAATTCCCAACGTTGCCATAACAAAGAAAGGAACTATCATAAGAGCATGCCCGCTGTGACCCATCGTACTTTCCTCGCGATGGCCGCAGTTTGGCCGGGTTTTTGGCACCTGTGGGGGTCCTGGGGTGGTCTGCAGGGTATTGAACAGGGCCATCCGGCAGTTCCGGGGGCGCAAAGTGGGCAGGGTGTGATTCATAGTCTGTCTGATCCAAGGGACAGGTGAGACAGGTGTACTACACGTTCTTTTAACGCCTTTCGATGTAGGGCTGCATATCGCCTACGGGGTGGGCGGGGTAGGGGGGTGCTGGTGGGCAGATCCGATTGTTACGGCATTTATGATACACAATTAAGAGACAACGAACGAGTGACTTCGCATGATTATGGGCAACGAGGCAGAGACAACAAGAACCTATCTTGTAACAGCTTATACGACATCATTTCCTATTAAACATGAAGCAATATATCACTGAAAAATAAAAAGATGCAGTAGAAAATAAACAGTAAAATTGAGCAACACTTCCCCCCTACCCTCCATCTAGCCATTCTTGCTGGTCAGGAAACATAAGTCCTGGTCCTCTCAGATTCCTACGCTCTCCCGCGCCGGTAGAAACTGGTGGCCCACTCCTTTTGGCTCGAGTCCGAATTAACTACTTGCGATATGGTGAATCACTCAGACGGCCTCTTGCCCTTGCGGAGAACTATGGTCCTCCATGAACGACGGAGAGTGAGGGTAGCGGAATGGCGTCGCGTATCGTCTAGGTTTCTCGGAAGCGCCCGCCGCGGAGACTGCCTGATCGCCTCCGAATCGCCACCGCCTCTTTGGAGTCGCAGCACGGAAGCCAGGTTGTTGGCACTGAATCGGGTCTGGGGATGGTCTCGTCCAAGTGTCCTCTCGCGACCCTCCAGTGCACGCCGATGCATCGCCTCTGATTCATCGTACTTGCCTTGGTCTCCTAGCACAGCAGCCAGGAAACTGATACTTGTTAGGGTGTCGGGGTTGTCTGGTCCAAGAGTCTTCTCGTGACCCTCCAGTGCACGCCGATTCATCGCCTCCGATTGAGTGTACTTTCCTTGGGATTCCAGCACACTAGCCAGGTTACTGACACTTGTTAGGGTGTTGGGGTGGTCTGGTCCAAGAGTCTTCTCGCGACCCTCCAGTGCACGCCGATTCATCGCCTCCGATTGAGTGTACTTTCCTTGGGATTCCAGCACACTAGCCAGGTTACCGACACTTGTTAGGGTGTTGGGGTGGTCTGGTCCAAGATCTTCTCGTGACCCTCCAGTGCATGCCGACTCATCGCCTCCGATTCAGTGTACTTTCCTTGGGATTCCAGCACACTAGCCAGGTTACCGACACTTATTAGGGTGTCGGGGTGGTCTGGTCCAAAAGTCTTCTCGTGACCCTCCAGTGCACGCCGATTCATCGCCTCCGATTGAGTGTACTTTCCTTGGGATTCCAGCACACTAGCCAGGTTATTGACACTTATTAGGGTGTCGGGGTGGTCTGGTCCAAAAGTCTTCTCGCAGCTCTGCAGTACACGTCGATTCATCTTCTCGGATTCGTGGAACTTGCCTCGTGATCGTAGTGCTCTAGCTAGTTGGTCGACGGCTTCCAGGACAATAAGGTTATTTGGGCCCAACGATCCTTCAATATCCTCTAATAAATTCTCCAGTATCTGCTCAGCCACTTCTGCCCTTCCTTGATGTATGTTCACCGCCGCTAGGAGGATGACTCTCCTGTGGCCTTCCTCAAAGTTATACCCCTTGCCCTCTTCCCTAAGTGCAATACACCGACGCAATTGAATTTCTGCGTCATTGGAGAAACCCATACCATAAAAGTATTGTGCCAGGCGAAAACAAAGCTCTTCGGCAATGGGATCTGTTGAATCTTTGGTCACTACAAGTGCATGTGGAAGGTATGCAGAACCAGCCGATCTCTGCTCGTTCCAATCCCGAGGAAACAACCTTGAAACCTGTCTTAGCGCAGTGGCCCTCCAACCATTAGACTCTTTTTGTGGTAAATACACTTGTAGAGACAGTTGGACCAAACGGTGAAGCTCGTAAAATGTCTTGTCCTCGCATTTGGCAGCTGTAACTAGCGAAAATCCCAATAGCTTTCCAATAACCTGACGAAACGTTATTGGATCACCCATCCCTTCCAACTCACATCGACTCAATAAATCCTCGGGTATGTTCTGACGATCGAAGAAGGCAATCAGACACAGGAGATCGGCCGCAAGGGGCATCTGGAGCGTGATCCGGTTGAAGGTGATAAAGTAGGTTGCTAGGATGCTTTCGGTCATATCCGCCTCACGTTGGATATCGCAAAATGGCTGGGAGAGTAACCTCTTCGCTTGTTCGTCGCTTTCCTGGAAAATATTCCAGTAAGTGGAAGGTGGTGTCTGGGTCTCGGTCATGAAGGCTGCAGCACCCACGATAGCCAGCGGGATGTGGTGTACGGAGCCCAGGATCATCTTGATAGCCTCTTTTTCTCCATCACCGAGAGCATCCCAGCCACGAAAGCGCTTCGAAAACAACGCGCGACCTTCATCCTCTTCCATTTCCCCGACATCGATCCTTTCACAATCCTGCCAGACTGCAACCCGGAGAGATCTAGTGGTGAATATTATGGTACCCCGAGGGCCTTGTGGTAAAAATTTGGAGAGGGGCCCGCTGTTGCCGATAAAGTCCTTCTCATTGTCGGCGTTGTCAATAACCAGTACCCAATCACCATTGTCGGGACCTTCGAACCACCTCTTTACACCGGCCAGAAATTTCTCTTGTTCCGTCTCAGCGCTGGGAAGAGGAATTCGAGCATGCTGTGCAATAGCCCTGAAACCCTCGATAAACTTTAACACCCCACTCCCCTGCACCCAGAAAACATCACAGTTACTCTCGCTTGCGTGCTGATAAACGTATTCAAGTGCAATCTGAGTTTTTCTAGGGAAGGTTAGTAAACCCTCAAAGTGGGAATATTGAATACATACCCGGATCCGCCTAATCCATGAAGTGCGATCCGGTGGTGGCCACCACCCCCGGTCAGCCTCTTTATCGACTCAATGAGATCTTTTCGGCCGGTGAACTTGGTGTTCCTGCGATAGGGAATCATCCGATAAGGTCTAGACGCTTCTCCTAATTTAAATAGCGCGTTAGATCTCTGCAAGGGGTCTTTCGGGAAAGCTGATAATACCTCTGTCCCCAGCTCTAAACACACACCCCTGATATATCTGTCCGAGGTTGGTAACGTTGCTCAGGTTTCCCGTATTTATATTATTATCGATATTATTGCTTCCGGAAACATTATGATCCCCTGAATTCCCGCTGAAGTCTCCGGTGATATTGGCTTGCATTATTTTTCTGCGGGGATTTTTATGTGAGCTCTTGTTATTTTTGAAATGACCGACTTCAAAGGGAAGGGGAACCCACTGATCCATCAGGCGCTCTAGTATTTAGCTCCCTGTAGACCCGTTTTCCAATGCCCGGTAGGAAAGCGATAGGATGTCTCTAGTCAATCTAAAACGGGAAAGGTAGGCTACTTTTTCGCCAACAGAGGTATGAGTTCGAACCCTTTTCGGAAGCCCCTAAAAAGACCAGCAAGGTGGGGGTACGAGTGGGGAAGGTAGCCAGGGGCCCGGCCTTGGATATGGAGATGAATTATGGTGTAGTTTTGGGGCAGCTTTGGGTTATAATCCTCCCTCGAGCTATAGGAATTCAGTGAAGCCGAAAAATCTGGCGAAAGGACCGTTAATAGGTAGAAGTGTTAGAGCGATAGCGTCCCGAGGCAGTAACAAAAATACGTGTTCAGCCCTGCAAATAGAAAGCCCTAGCCTAGCCCCTTAGGGTGAGGGAAAGCCCAGGGAACGCAAACAATAGGTATTGTAACCCATGGCTCGCCCTCTAGGGGTTAGGGAAATACACTCATACCGCTAATTGGTTAGACTTTGCTTGGGGCTTGGGAAGTGATCAGCATTTGGTGCATATTGGCTTATGCCGCACGACAAGTTAACAGCCTTCCGACAACACAGCATTTTCCTGCATCCCACGGCAGCCGCGCACTTAGGGCACTCCTTAGCCAGGATATCTCTGGGTGCAAAGTTTAAACCTATCAAAAATTATACTCGTCCACGAATCGACTTTTTTGGCACATTCTGGAAAATATCCTTGGCTATTGTCCCCTCCCCTCGCAACCCAATTCAAAGCTGCCATAACTTCAAGGCGAAACCAGCGCAGCATCTTCTGAGACAAGTACGATAGCTTGAAATCGATCAGCCACCAAAAATCGGTGCGCGGCATAGAACAGTAAAAATATATGCAACGCCTGTACTCCTACACAGTCCCCATCACAAGCCGACTCGCGCTACCACTCACAAGTGCTGCAGCTGCCTGTTTGGGCATCCCCAATTGGAATGGGGCAAGTTTTATCGAAGGGCGCACATGGCTTGCCTTCTCACGGTAACTTATCGGTAAACAACAAGCGAATTTCACAAACCCCACTACTGCAAGCCCCTGTCCTACACCCTCCATACCGGTACCGTAGTAGAGGGGATTTTGGACGTCTTACATGGTGTGAGGTTCAACTATCCCAATGGATACCATACCAAGCATATAGGCCTAGGGTGTAAAGTTAGAGCGCGTATCATCCCAGTTCGGTTTGCAATCCTGGAGTTGGCTGTCCGGTTCTACTCGTACGCCAGTTTCTACAACTATGTAATACCATCCGGATCTGAGCCGAGGGGGTGTGGTAGTTGGGACCATAAAACTCAACCGGCATGAAAATTTGCCAAGGCCACCTGCAGTTCCCTTCCAGATTCCCAACGGAGGCCTCAATTCCATCACGCCCAAATTCTAAGCCTTACACGTGCCAAAGTTGCTGCTCGATTATATAAACAGCAGGTGTTTCCAAATCTCGTACCCCGCTTGGCCTCTGGGGATTCTTCGACGGGGTGGGAACCTTGGTACACTTACATGGGCCAATTCTTTGCCACACCGTACGACCCGACAGTCACTCCATGGCTCCCGCACTCGAGTACCCGAGTATAGGACCGCTAGTTCCGAAGACTTCCACCAAGACGCGCACATAATTGATCGGGCACCAAACCAATTGCGGAATTGTGAATGTGAAACTGAAGCTTAAGATTTTGTCAGGCCTGTTTATTCACCTCACAGGATACAGAGCCAATCGCGGTTTTTATATTGGCTTAATGGTTGGAGGATGGTAAACATATGCTATGCACTGCGAGTGGAAATAATTCGCACCGAGCGACTTTTATTAGCAGCTACAACCAGCTGATACGGCACAATTTCCACGGGCAACTCTACCAGTACGAATACTCGAGTCAGTTCCGCAGGGAAGCCATCGGTAATGGAGCTCCAGGGGTTGGAAGGGGGTGGCATTTGGAAGCGGGGATTCAAGGGGCTGATGCTTTCGGCCTTAGTCAGCAGGACCACGGTGGGAAAAGGCCGAGCGAACCAACAAAAATTCCAGCTCAACCAATAATCCTCGCAGTGAATTTAAATCCAAACCTAGAGATACTAGCGATTTTCAAGGCGCGCGAGGGGCCTGGCACCAAGGCTTTGTGTTTTCAGAGAGCCTCGGCATTAAAATGTCCGAATACTTGTGCAATTCGCATGGACCGGCACCGTATCATACTGTCGATAGTCTAGTATGATAACTGTACGAGTACTTTAGTATTTTTTTTGAAGGGGTTTTGTTGTAGGACCCCCCCTATTCTACTAACCGGTTGCCACTCCCCCGATCCCTTTTCGATGAAATCCCCCTTCATTGTACCGAGTAACATTGGCTTGATCACATCTTTGTGCCAAACTAAGCTAGCCACAGCGCCCTAATTTGACCATTCCTTCACATTCGGTCCCCGCCGGATCTCTCCTGCCATCTTAATACTGGAGGCACGCCATGTTGAAGGACTAGCTCTCCCGCCCCCCTCATGTTTGCCGTATCGGACCGTTAAATAGCCACATAGCAAAAGTTCATCATACGCGGAGCGGATCGCTTGGGATCTGCCGCCCTTACTCGTGCAACAGCCACTCTTCTGTTATCAATCGCGGCACAGGTAATCTTATCAACATCACGTGACAGAAAAACTGGCACCGATTGGGCTTACAACCATGTCCCATTTTATTAAGGTCTGCCACCGGAGCCCAACGACCGTACAGAGCCGCATGTTTGGTGAGAAAGCCTGAAAGGTGACTTTGTGTCACCATGTGATGAGCTGTCTCGCTTGGTATGGTACGGCGCTCTTCGGGACTGCCTTCTCAGGTTTCATTCTAGCTAGCTGCTCGATCGGCGATACTCTTTTTCAGACAAATTATTACCCAGCCGGGACCATTAGACCTGTCGCTGGCTTCGGGGCAGATTGTTGCCAATTGTGTGGATAGCTTTGGCGACGCGACTGATAAGACTGTGGCATCTATAGATGGATATAGCGCGGCCATCAACGATATGACAGACACCAACAAGGAGGAACGCTCGCCCCGGCACCCTACCAGAGGTATCTCTGACAATATCAAAATCTCACAAATTCCAACCCCCCACTAAGCCTGCTATTTTCCACACCTCTCTTTATACCCACAAACCTTATGGACTATGCTCTAAACACAAATTTGCCGGTCCACCGAGACCGGCCTGCCCTGGGAAGTCATGGCTTGCCGCACGGTACGCGATGTTAGTGTCATGGAAACGTTTATTTGAGCCCTACGGATGCGGCTTGCATGGGTCGAAGGGAGAGCCTTGTCATAGGATACGAAACCGCAGTCCCTAGCGGTTCTCAGCACCTGGGTTGGTAGATAGACAATTCTTTGCCCGGGCTCAAAATCATGGAAGAGAAATTGACACTGTTAAACCCATGAATAGAGGCAACCTATTTCAACCGAATTCACCATCAGACGAGCCTGCCGACAACAAATAAGGTAATGTTCAGTAACATTGGTTCGGTAGTACTAAGCGAGAAGGGTCCGGTTGATGGTTGTGGTGGACCAACACAGTTAGGCGGAGGTTCGGAGGTGTGCAGTGCTCGAGTAGAGAAGTATGTTACCCCGGGTATGGAAGGTAGATGGCTAAATATATAACTTAGGGATGAACACAGGACAAGAGGACAAACCCCTGCACTCACCAACTCTTACTGACGCTCCACACATGTATTATACACCCCCCCTCTCACATTCTCATTCTTGTCTCGACAGTGCCCGAGTTCCTGCGCTCTCCCGCATCTGCGCCCCCAAGACTACCTCACTCCACTACGGGTTGCTATGCCATCATCACCTGCAACATCTGGGGAAGGAGGCGATTAGTGGTTCTGGAAAGCCATAACACCCGCCCCCCCCTGTATCCCCTGTGAGCACCTATCATACAGCTGTGCAATGCGGGAAAGGTTGAGAGGTTGGTGGGGTCCCCATGTGACTCAGCCCCCACAATGCTTTAGTTAAGTTAGGCTTTGCCGGGGAGAGGCGGATTTCGCAACCTTATCCCAGTCCATCTGTACGGGCTACTCGTATCAGATAGAGCGCGTGCTGTCAAATTGTGAACTCTTGGACCAATATATCTATATAGATTGAATTTTATAGCCATCCAGTTCCAACCTTACCATAATCGACTTTTTTTTCCTCTCACACGAGATATACATACAAGCACTGTACATACCAAGCAGCACAAATCCCAACAGATCATTAGTGGAAAATGCCTTAGATCATTAGCGGCCTCTTCCTACTTTCATCTAACTACTCCTTTCCGGATTGCTTCCGCCATAATTCCGTCAACTTCCTAATGCATTCCAAAATTAAGCGTTTTTGTTCTCTCAGAGTTTTACACAACCCCTCGGGAGCCCGCTCAAAGTTGTTTCGGCTTAAGGAAGCTATCTGTTTTTCTTTCATACTACGGTAGAAGACGATGCAGAAGCCCGATGGCACTACCGACTTTAGTCTGCTCCTAGGCAAAAGCACTTTCCTCACCCCTAGCCGTCAGGTATGGGGGCGGGATCGCCGGCCGGATTTAGGTAAGGCAGGATGGTTTGAGGGTATGGCTTTCACATCGCCCTCTGGTGCCCCCTTGGCGGTCATTTCCCATCCATTACAATTTAATTTCTTCGGCAATAACACAACCAGGTTGATACCAGTGAAAAGGTTCTATCACTATACGATCGGGAACTATCCCATGCCCCTCCCTCGGTTCGTTGCTTCGTACTGTTGTTGGGCTCTGCACACCGGAAGCTCTCGGGTCCGAGAATGGCATGATATCTCGATTTCCAGTCTACGGCTACTTCTACTCACTTTACCTCTGGGAGAGTAGACAATCTTATTTAAACCACTTAGACAAATTCCCGCATTTCTTCTTTTCTCATCTTCCTCTCTTCCATTTTATTCCCCTGCCCCCCCCCCCGGTTCTCTCCTCTATAATCCTCGCGGTTTCTCATGGCTTCCTGATACTTCTTTCTTCTCTTCGCTGCCCATAACTCCCGAACTTCAAATCCCTTTTCTATACATTTTCAATAAGGTGATGAGGTGCTGCATGTTTACTCGTATATCGGTCCTACGTCTTCTATCTGGTGAGCAAAAACACGTGAAATAAAAATAACTAAATTCCGGAGAATTGAGTCAATTTTATGTCATTGTAACATGTAAATGAGCACCGCCGTTTCCCGATAGATTAGACAACAACTAATTATGTTTGGCCCATCTCGCTGTCCTTGGGATCGTAGGAGCATGGCAAGGATGCTGGCACATGTTAGGGGTTTGGGGTGGTCTGCAGTGTTCTCATAGGGGGCAGCCCCTCAGTCCCCCGGGCATGAAATGAGTAGGATGAGGTTTACCGCCGTTCCGGCCCTTAGGAGGACATGGGATCAGGGGCAGTACTGGCACCATAGGTTCACTCGAGTACCTAAAATGTAGGGCCGTACAGGGTCCACGAGCGAAGCCGCCGGGAAAACTACAAGTATATAGTGGATGGGAGACTTGTAAGTAGCTCGGATCATGTTTTGGCATTTAAAGATACCCGCCGGAACGACAACAAACGGGTGACATATCATGATTACAGCAATAGTAAAGTGGTGGCAGCGAAGAGCTTATCGGGTGAGGCGACATATCAAACATAAACCAACATCATATATCGCTAAAAGATTTATATAAAAAAAGATAAAAAAAATAACAAGAGAAAATAAAGAGCACATACAAAAGAGAGTAAAAATGCCCAACACTTCTCCACAAATAACGGACAACACGGCCAGCGAATTGCGTCGTAGTATCGCTTGGGTTTCTTGGAAGTGTCTGCTGTGGAATTCAGCCCTATCATCTCTGAACCGCCACATTCTCCTTGGGATCGTTGCAGGAAGGTCAGGTTTCTGGCACTCGACAGGTTGTCTGGCCGCCCAGGCCCTGGAATTTTCTCGTAGCCTGCTAGTGCACGCTGATTCAGCGCCTCTGACTCACTGTACTTTCCTTGATACTGAAGAACAATAGCGAGGTTGTTGGCGCTTGATAGGGTGTTGGGATGGTCTGGTCCGAGGGTCTTCTCGCGCACCTCTAATATACGCCGATTCATCTCCTCTGATTCGTCGTACCTTCCTTGGCACCGAAGCACAGCAGCTAGATTGTTGGCACTGGACAGGGTGTTGGGATGGTCCGGTCCCAGAATTTTCTCATACCCCGCTAGTATACGCCGATTCACCGTCTCTGATTCGCTGTGCTTTCGTTGGTATTGAAGCACAATAGCAAGGTTGTTGGCACTTCCCAAGGTGGTGGGATGGTCTGGCCCAAGAGTCTTCTCATACCCCTCGAGTGCACGCCTATTCATTGCCTCTGATTCGTTGTACTTTTGCTGATGTTGCAGCACAGCAGCCAGGCTGCTGATGCTTATTAGGGTGTCTGGGTGGACTGGACCAAGAATCTTCTCGCGACCCTCCAGTGCACGCCGATTCATAGCCTCCGATCGGTTGTACATTCCCCGGCCCCGCAGTGCAAGAGCCAGATGGTGGACTGCGCTCAGGACGATGGAATGATTTGGGCCCAACGATCCTTCAATATCCCCTGATAAATTCCGAAGTATCCGCTCGGCCACTCCTGCCTTTCCTTGATGGATATTCACCGCGGCTAAGAGGATAACTCTCCCCAGGCCTTCCTCGACGTCATACCCTCTGCCCTCTTCCCTAAGTGCAATACATCGACGCAATTGAATTTCTGCGTCATTGTATGAGCCTATACGGAGAAAATACTGTCCCATGTGAAAACAAAGCTCTTCGGCTATGGGATCCGTCGAAAATTTGGTTACTGCAAGTGCATGTGGAATGTATGCAGAACCAGCCGATCTCTGCTCGTTCCAATCCCCAGGAAACAACCTTGAAACCACTCTTAGCGCAGTGGCCCCCCACCTATTCAACTCCTCTACCGGCAAGTACACATGTAAAGACAGTTGGACCAGGGGGTGGAGCTCATAAAATGCCTTGTCCTCACACTTAACTATCGTAACTAGCGAAAACTCTAATAGCTTTCCAATGGCCTGACGAAACTGGATTGGATCATCTATTCCTTCCAAACCACATCCAGTCAATAACTCCTCAGGTATGCTCTGACGATCGAGGAAGGCCATTAGACGCAGGAGACCTGCCGCTAGGGGCATGTTCCGTGTAATCCGGTCAAAGGTGATAAAGTACGTTACTAGGATGCTTTTGGTCATATGGGCCTCACTCCGGATATCATAAAATGGATTGGAAAGTAGTCGCTTCAGTTGTTCGTCGCTTCCCTGCAAAATAGTCCAGTAAATGGAAGGTGGTGTCTTGGTCGTGGTGATGAAAGCCGCTGCTCCAACGATAGCCAGCGGGATGTGGTTCATGGAGCCTAGGATCATTGTGATCGCATCTTTGTCTTCATCCGCCAAACTGTTCCCGCTACCAAAGCACTTCGAAAACAACGCTTGGGCTTCATACTCCTCCATTTTCCCAACATCGAGCGTTTGGCAGCCCTGCGAGAATGAAACTCTGACAGATCTGGTCGTGAATATTATAGTACCTCGAGGGCCCTGTGGTACATATTTGGATAAGGGACCGCTGTCGCCAACAAAGTCCTCCTCGTTATCGGCGTTGTCAATAACCAGTATCCAATGACCACTATTTGGACCTTCGAACCACCGCTTTATACTCTCCAGAAATTCCTCTTGTTCCGTCTGGGCGCTAGGTGGAGGAATTCGAGCATGTTGCGCAATAGTCATGAAACCCTCAGTAAATTTTGATACCCCACTCCCCTGCACCCAGAAAACATTACAATCACACTCGCTTGCGCGCTGATAAAGATATTCGAGGGCAATCTGAGTTTTCCTGAAGAAGGTTAGTAAACCCCCAAAGTAATAATAATGAATACGTACCCAGATCCGCCTAATCCATGAAGCGCGATCCGGTGGTGACAGTCACCCTCGGAAAGCCTCTTGATCGACTCTATGAGACCTTTACGGCCTGTGAACTTGGTGTTTCTGCGATAGGGAATTATCCGATAAGGCCTAGATGCTTCCCCTAGTTTTAATAGCAGATTAGGTCTCTACCGGAAATCTCTGCGGAAAGCTGATAATACCTCTGTCCCCAGCTCCAAACACATACCCTTGATATACCTCTCCGAGATTGGTAACGCTGTTCTTGCCACCGGAAACATTATGATCCGCAAAATTTCCGCTGATATCGGCTTGCATTTCTCTGCGACGATTGCCATGTAAGCTCTTGTTATTTTGAAATGAGAGACACAGAACGGAAGGGGAACCCACTGATCCATCAGGTGCTCCAGTGCTTAGCTCCCTATAGACCCGTGCCCAAAGGTCTAGTAGGAAAGCGATAGGATGTTCCTAGTTTATCTGAAACGGGGAAGGATGCCTATTTGTCGCCAATCGAGGTATGATGGTTCAAAACTTTTGCCCAAGCCCTAAAAAATACCTACAAGGCGGGGATGCACGTAGAAAGAGCAGCCGAGGACCCAACCGTGGATATGTAGATGAATTATTCTGCCGCCTTGAGGCCGCTTTGGGTTGTAGTGTTTCTTGGAGATCTAGGAATTCAGTGAAGCCGGGAGATTTGGCTAAAGGACTCTGAGTGGGTATTAGAGTGATGGCGTCTCGAGACGGTAACGGAAAATAAAATTGAGCTTCGAAGCGAGAAGTTCTCTTACCTTTGTGGGGGCTGAGGAAAAGCCTGAGAAAGTCAAACAATAGGTATTGTGGCCCCGTCGCTAGCCCACCAGTGGGACGGGAAATACACAGATGATTGGCTAGATCTTGGTTGCGTCTTGGATAGTGACCCGTATTTGGTGCATATCGGGCGATGCCGGGTGATAAAAGACGCTGTAAGTTAACGGCCCCGCTGACCACAGAGCTATTTTCCTGCATCGTGGCAGGGTGGATTTAAGGTACCCCCCCCCGAGCCAGGGTTGCTAAGGGTACAAAATTTGAGCTTATCAAATAGCATACTGATTCACGAGTCGGCCTGTTCGGCGCATTCCCGGAAACGGCCATGGCTACTGCCCTTCCCTTCTCTCGATGGAATTCAGAGCTATGATACCATACCTTCAGGGCTAAGCGTGTGCATAACCCTATGATACAAGTATGGTACCTTAATATCGGTCAGCCGCCCAAATCGTAGCTGAGCATAAACCGGTGAAAGGGTATGCAATGCCGGCACTCCTACACCGTCCCGGTCTCGATTTTGTGGGGCACATGGAGACCAGCCAAATCGCGTCCGCAAGCACGTATTCGGTGAGTATCGCATAGGCATTCTCGATCAGAGGGGGATAAGTAGCAACTAAGGTCGCATAAAGCTAGCATCCTCACGGCATCGGTAAATGGCAAGTGAATTTCGTGGAACAACAAAAATCTTCCCACTGGATTAGTACTCGTACTGAAAGCACCCATCCCACCCGTCGAAGGGAGAATTTTGCACGCCTTAGGTTACATGGTGCGAGACTCATTTACCCCGCTGGGCAGTGTGCCAAGCATTAAGGCCTAATTTATTGATGGCGTCCGGTATGCAATCTTGGAGTTGACTATCCGGTTTCTACTAGTACATCTCTCTACGATTCGGATCTGAGCCGAGGGGGGGTATGATAATTGGACTTTACAACACTTAGTCAGCATGAAAAATGTGCCCAGGCCACTTGCTCCGTTCCGGGTTCCCGCCGGAGGCCCCCCCTGCCATCACGAAACATTCTCAGGCTTGTGCAGCCCAATTTTTTTGCTACACCAGTATACCTCTGCAGTCACGCCACGCCATCACTACTCGAGCACAGGACGAGTGCACGAGTAGAGGACCGATAGTTCCAAAGTCTTCCGCCAAGATGCACATATCGTTACTAGAGTACCAAATGAACTGCGGAATTGAAAATGTGAAACTGAAGCTTAAAATTGTGTCAGGCCCGTTCCCCTCGCGGAGTGCAGGTTCCGTCGGGGCTGCTGCGTTGGGTTGGTGGTTGGTGGCGCTGCGCGGTATGGGTGGGAATCCGAGGAAAAAAGAACCGAACGACTTTTTCTAGCAGTTATCACCGGTTGACGCTGCGCAACTACTGCTGGTCGCTCTACTAGTACGGTATGAGTGCTCGAGTCAATTCTCCAGAGAAGGTCTTTGGTGATCGAGTTCAGGCGGCTAGAAGGTGAGGCATTTGAAAGTGGGGATCCAAAGGGGGATCCCTCCAGCCTAAGCTAGCAGGAGTAGGAAAAAGCCGTGCCAACCAACATTCTAGTCCAAGCAATAATCCTCGCAGTGAAATCGAGCCGGAAGCTAGAAAAACTACTCGAGTGGTGAATCCCAAAATATTCGGCGCCCCAGTGCCAAGGCTTTGTGCATTCAGAGAGCCTCGGCATTAAAATGTCTGAATACTTGTAAGCGTTTCGTGTGCGAGTACAGTACACGTTAACCACCGCACCCTAGTTTGACCCTTCCTCCACATTCGGTCCCCGTAGGATCTCTCCTGCTTTGTTAATCCTGGAGGCAAGTGATCCGGAAGGGCTTGCTCTTCCCCCCCTCATGTTTGTAGGATCGGGCTGTTAGACAGTAGCAAAAGCTCCGCTGCTAAAGTGCGCCAAGCGGGTCGCTTGGGATCCCTGCTGCCCGCACACATGAACCATCCCGCTATGATACCGGCATGTTGTTATCAAACAGGGCACCTGTAATCTCATCATCCCTCACATGACAGAAATACTATTATCTACCTTATCGCGTACCCTCGTGCAACCATGTGCCATAGCTTATTAAGCCGTGTAGGGTTTGAGCCAAATGATCCTACAGAGCCGCATGTTGGGTGCAAAAGCCTGGATGGAAACTTTGTGTCACCCTAGAATGAGCTGTCTGTCTTGGTACGGACGCGGCTGTTAGCTCAGGTTTCATTCTAGCCAGCTGTCTGACGGGCGATTCTATTCATCAAACAAATTATTACCGTTGGCCCTGCCGATGGCTTCGGGGTGGATTGTTGCCAATTGTGTAGGGCTTTGGCGACGCGGCTGCAAGGTCTCTGGTGCCTATGGATAGACTGCTGCTCTCCATGACAGAAATCAGTAATGAGGAACGCGTGCCCCGACACCCTACAGAAGCCACCTCGGACAATACCTATTCTTACAAATATCAAGCTCCTATTCATCCAGCTGCTTTTTGTTGAATTTTCTAATTTGTTTCATATGTATATTCTCATTGATAATATCATATATTCCTCTACTTAGTATTTCTCTTAGACTATGAACATTACTACAGCTGAAGTATGTATTATGTATATTTCATTTGATATTTCATGATAGGATTAGGGGATTATGGCATGCTTTTCTTATCTGGTGTTTGGATTTATTTTTTACATTTTATGCATCATCATGTACAGTCATCAGTCATTTGATTTACAATTATGTTCTAATTATCCATTCATACCACCTCGGATTTATGTATGTTTTATGGGATTTCCTTGGCAGTTCTTTCTGGTCAAACATAG